TCGTGTAGGCATGAGTTACTAATAAGGATGGTATTAGTGGTGGAATTGGAAAGGAATGAAGTGGGTTTGAGGGCCATTATGAAAGTAGATTTGGTGACTAATTTCCTTTATTAAACAGCCTAGATAGAGTAATAAAACATGAATTAGGTTTTGAGAGACTGAAAAAATAATAGAACCAGGAATAGAAATAAATCAGGAGAGGGAGTTTATTTGAAGGGGAAGATAAGGAATTAAATTTTGGACATGCTTTCTTTAGGATGGCAGCAGAAAATACAGGTATATTTGTCCAGTGGTTACTTGGAAAATATTGCACAGGGTCTTAAAAAAGAAATTGGTCTGATATGAATTTGGAATCATCAATGTAGAAGTGAATGTGGTAGCCTTAGGAGTAGGTAAGATTTCTAATGGAGTTTCAAGGGAGAAGAGAACAGAACCTTTAAACATGTATAACCCAAATCTATTTTAATGGTTTTATAACACTTACCTGAAATTTCATTGTTCACTATACACTTATGTTAACACAAATTTGGCCCATATTCTTTACCACTGTATCTCCAACCCACAGAACAGGGCCTGGCATGTGGTAGGTGACAAAAAAGCATCTATTGAATAAGTGGCTGAATGAAGAAATAATTTTTATAAATATCCAGATCTTCAAATAATCTCAAGTGTGACCCTACATAATTTACCTAGTCAAGGACAGGTGTTTCATCAGACAATACATTTCAGAGAAATATACATTTTACGTTTTAGTTTTTTTTTCTGCAGATTTGGGTTCTTACCTTGAATTTTGGTGTATGACTCTTCAGCTGAAACTAGAGGCATCTTGGTTTTGAGAGATTTCTTTTCAGTTTTGTTTTCTCCCTTTGAGAAAAAAATAGAGATAGTACATGTGATTTTACATAAAATGAAGTTGAATGTAAAATATGAGTTTTTCATTCCATTATCAAGCCAGTCATTAAAATTGATCATTTGTTTATGATATACTAAAAATGGTAATTCTTGCACTTAAATGAATGTTCTTGGCTCTATTATTGAATAATCAACTTCAACCTCCACAGTTTGTTGACCACAGACTGTTTTTTTTCACTGTGGTCGCTGCATCTCCCAGGCACATGTTTCTCCCAGTTCTGGTTCTAACTTCCTACAGCCTGGTTCTAACTTCCTACAGCCAGAACACTGGTCCCAGTCGAGGTCTTTAGAGGTAGAATGTAAAATGATGGAAAGAAGAAAGTACCTTGGTGTCTTTACACATAGCTCTCTTCCTTTTACATTCCATGATTTCATTTGCCTCTACCTCAACATTTATCTTAACATTTAAGCTTTCCTTTGAAATGTAAGTATATCTCACTGGATGTGGCCAGTGTATACCTGAAGATTTTTCCATGGGGACAGGGTAAAATAAGATATAAGGTTAGAGCATAGAAAGTTTGGCTCCCAAGCTGCTCACAGCCGCATAGGGGGAACAAACACACACCAGTGCAACTGACATGAAATGTTATTGGTGATGACACAATGTTTGTAGATGCTAGAGGTGAGGTATAAAGGGGAGTGGTCAGTTCTTCTGGAGTTGAAGGGCAAGGAAGGACACTATTCAAAAGGAAGTGACTCCTGAATTTACAAATCAAGATGAGATTTTTGTTTTCCAGATGGCCAAGGCATGGAAAATATTCCAGGCAGAGGATGTATGTTTAGCAAAAGCCTAAGGTGTATGTAGGTGAAGGGAGACTACAGAAGTGCTTGGAAGGGAAAAAGGGTGAGAAGATGAGGCTAGTGAAGGGAAGGGATTTTGAGAGTCTTGTAAGCCTTGATGTGAAGTTTGATATTATTTTTAGACATTGTATGTCAGAAACATTTTAAACTGGAAAGCAAATTGATCAGATGATTTAATTTAAGACTCATGTGTTAGGCAAGGCAGATATTATTATTCTTATATTATTGAATAGGAAATTGATTAAGTGGCTAGAAAAGTATGGATCCCTGGATAGATTATGAAGTAGTGATAAAGCCTTCTGACTTCAATCAAATACTTTTACATCATGTTATTCAGAAACATTTCCATCATAGTTTTATTGTACATAAATGTAGTTTTATGTGAATAGTGTCTTATTCTGGAGTATGAGAGAGAGTTTGTACTAGTCTGAGTTTGCAGTTTTTGATTTCATGGTTATTGACAAATTTGAATTACATATGATATTTTGGTTTGAGAATTAACTATTTAAATGACACTTAAAATACAATGTAAATTGATTTATTCATTCATAGATTTTTTTATAGGACTCAAATAATTGATTTGTATTTCAGAAACATGTTGTTTAAACGTCATTTTAAAAGGTTATATTCTGTAGATGAAAAGAGGGTTTTAACTTTGTGTCATTTTTAACATTTAGTGTATTTGAAACTGGAGAAAAACTATTTTTCTTTTACCAACATGTTACTGGAAAGAGTAGTTGCAAATAATTCCCCAATATGACTTTTAAGGTATGTGATGCCAGCAGACTTCCTGATTAACATCAACAAATTATGGCTGTCAGGAATGGCACAGGATGTGTCTAAGAGCTGCCCTACTTGTGTCTAGTCTGAGTAGCTCTCCAATATTAATGTTTCTGAAGGAAAGCCAACTCTCTAAGTTTCTGCTCATTTTGCCTTCTGTTTTGTAGCAATATAACCTAGTGATTTAGCTCTCAGGCACTAAAGTCAGATAGAACAGGGTTCTGATCCAGACTCTGCAATTTGTAAGTTGTGCGTAAGTAGCAAATTATAACAGGGCCCATGAGAATTCAATACAGCAGTGCTTGGAAAGGGATAGCACCTTGCTTGGTACATAGTAATTGCTGTTAGCTACTATATTCTCCAAGAGAATAATGTATTAGCTATTTTTATGTGCTCTGTAGGAAAATAATCATGATGGTAAGTTGGCATACATCACTGTAATGACTTTCCCAGAGAAAAACACAACAAGGCTAGTTGAAGGGAAGTACCCACCTCAACATTTGTGATAGTCTATAAGTTTTTAAACATATAAGTAACTTTTAAAGTATGAGATTATTTATTTTGACACAAGTATTAGAAAAGTCAAGGGCACTCTCATAAAGAACATTCTCCACTTCTTTCCACTGCAGAAACAGTCAATGTTAATCAGAAAAGGAAGGCAAATTTTCTAGGGCCAACATTAGGTAATCTCGGTATTTTTTGTACTCTAAGCTCATTTAAACCTGAGTCATTAGACCATGCTATGCTAGTCCCTGAGGTACCTTCCTGTTTGTATTTGACATCTCTCATCCATTTCTCTTAGATGTGAAAATAATTCTTGCTCTAAAAATCTTACATAGTGCTTTTAGGTAAATCTAGTGAGCAATTCATGAAAATTGTTCTATAAATAGCTGTAAGTGAATATTGATCATATAATTACCATTTGGACTTAAATCTGTCATAAGAACACAAATTATTAATAATGATGATGGTAATAATTACCACTTAGGAATTCCCTACTATATGCTTTATCTATGCTGTCTCTAGTTTGTATACCAAGGCTACAAAGCAGGTATTATCCTCATTTTATAGATGAACAGACTTAGAACTTGTGAAAATATTTGTCCAGAGAAGGGTTCCTCCAATTTGGCAATATTAAAAGTTTGAACTGGATAATTCTATGTTGTAAAGGGCTCTCCTGTTCATTCTAGGACATTTAACAGCATTTCTGGCCTTTCCCCTTTAGATGACAGTAACTTCCCTACCCCTGGGCTGTGACAACCAAAAGTATCTTCAGACGTTTCTGATTGTCCTGAGTGCAAACTACTCCCTATTGAGAACTCCTGGTCTAGAGAAATTACTGTTAAAATGCAGTTTCCTAAGAGCAGGATGTTTGACATTCTCTGCTGGAACTAGATCATATAACCAGTTTAATATTTGAGAAATGATTTCATTTTGGTTGATGGCAGAAATGAAAATCAGCAAGGAGAAGTCTTACTTTGCTTTTCCAAATCATAATAAGGTCTCCTAAACATTTATTATTCCATTCTAAAGCCAATATATGTAGTATGTATAAAATGATAGGGATAAACCCCAAAGACAAACAGTCAATGACCCAGATGGTAGTGGGTAAAACTGCAGAGAAATCACACATCATAGTGTTTATTAAAATCCCTCCCCAGACAAGAAATGATGAGAATCAAGACTGATTTAGGGACGTGGGGAGCGTACCTGTCTCGTGGGTTGCTGTGACTCGCTGCTTGGATCAGAACCTTGTTTATTCTCATCGCTCCCGTCACTAGGCTTCACCTTGTTGAATCTTATTGTCAGGGATTTAAACATCTTTAAGGTGGTTCTGAAAACTTCTGTTTTTATGACTCTGTATCTGGAGGTAGAGAAATGTACTTTGTTTTTCTTTTCATTAGTAGACAAGCCAATTAGTTGCTTAATCAGGATTTCGTTCTGGTTAATTCCTAGAGGCAACTCTCTAGCTAGTCAGGGCTTTGGCTTAAAAGCAGCAAATTACTTCTGCTTGGATGATTTGAATTCTGTTTATGAACTTTAGAGAGTCAGAATATCCCTGTGAATAATTTATAAGTGAGAATTAAGCAAAACTTCATTGTTGATTTAAATTGTTTAAATGATTGTTTAAATGTGATCACATTACCCATTGGTTTGTTTATTTTTCTTTCTTTCTAATTACCCACCCACCTATCTCTTCTATCTAACTTTTGTCAAAGTAATACAAGCAAATGATGAAAAAACAAAATGTGCATAAAGGCTTATAATATAAAGCAGCTCTCCCAAAGTCCTCACATGTAGTTCTGCACTGTGAAGTAACTACTTTTTCCTTTTTCTGTTCTTCTGGTGATTTTTTTTAAATTAGTATTTTACTATTTGATTAGATTAATGATGTTCTTAGAAAATATAGTGAAAAATGAGACATAATGCTTTGCATTCCCAATAGCCTAAACATCCACCTCAGATTCATAATGATAATTACATTAGAATTAAGCAGAGAGAGTGTATTAGTTTGCTAGGGCTGCCATAACAAAGTACCACAGACTGGGTGACTTAAACAACATAAATTTATGCTGGAGGCTAGATGTCTGATATCAAGATGTCAGCAAGGGTAGTTTCTTCTGAAAGCTGTGCATAAAGGAACAGTCTCTCTTCATGGCTTGTGGATGGCCTTCCTCTTCCTTTGTCTTCACAGTGTCTTTACTCTGTTCATGTTTGTGTCCAAATTTCCTCTTCTTGTAAGGACACCAGTTATATTAGATTAAGGCCCACCTCAGTGATCTTGTTTTAACCTACCTCTTTAAAGACTCTATCTCCAAATAAGGTCACATTTTGAGGTAGGGGGATCAGAACTTCAGCGTGAATTTTTGAGGAGATACTATTCAGCCCATAACAGAGAGACAGTATGTTTGATGAATATCACTTTGAGGAAATGTAATTCATTGCTCAGAAGCAATTTGTTCCAAAATTTCTTACAAGTTTACTATTTTCTTACAAATTGCTGAAATATTATGAAAGCTATCTATGTGATTACTAGTTTTATAAGTCTAGATAATTCTGTTGGATTATTAATTTCATAAATTGTAAAAAAATATGTATCTTTCTCCAGCATGAATTTTTTTCTGTGATTCACCCTTTAACCAATAAGCCTAAACTCCTTGAAGAAAGACACCATGCATCACTTATTTTACCCCCACAGCTCCTTTATACGGAGTAGAAACTCAAGCCTCTGCTGAACAGAATTTAGTTGAAAGCGCTTTAAGAGATCTAACAACTCTAGTCCTCACTTATATCTCTGCTTTAATTCAAAACTAATTAAATATATTACACTTGCAGCATTTAAGTTTATGCATTTCTTAATACTTGGTACCACAATATGCCATTTCTTTCTCTGTTTTCCTATATCTCTGTCTTCTCCCTAAATAGATGGAAAGATCATTACCATCAGAACCTTTGTTCTGTCATTTCTCTTAGTATCACCTTGTCATCTACTATAGTATTCTTTCATTGTATCTGTATCATTTTAAACAGGTATGTAGAATATTCTAATATTTCTTTCACAATTTGACTGGCTAACATTTAGCTGTTTTTGAAAAAATATTAGAGTTCTGAGAAACTCAAAATCTTGTGAAAGGTCCAAGTCACCAGCGTCTACAGCAGAGGTCTATGAAATTGCAGTAAAGAACTTTCTTTTTGGAAGCTCAAGATCAAGGGAGGAGTAGAGGAAGGTAGGATCACAGTCTCTAGGAGAGCCATGGAGCTCTCATTTCCATCCTGGTAGTGACATATCTACTAGATGCAAGGAGACCCCAGTGTGAGACCTTAACAGCATTTTGATTATTAAAATACAGTTATCAGGGGCTTCCCTGGTGGCGCAGTGGTTGAGAGTCCGCCTGCCGATGCAGGGCACATGGGTTTGTTCCCCGGTCCGGGAAGATCTCACATGCCGCGGAGCGGCTGGGCCTGTGAGCCACGGCCGCTGAGCCTGCGCATCCGGAGTCTGTGCTCCGCAACGGGAGAGGCCACAACAGTGAGAGGCCCGTGTACCGAGAAAAAAAAAGAAAATAAAAGAAAAAAAGGATAAAATGAGTATTTCAATTGTAGAAATTTATTCTGCTCTTTTAAAAAAGAATTGAAGCAATTTACATAATAGAAAATGTTCTTTCCATGAAATGAAAATCTTTTTAAAGTGAGATCTTGCTTACTACATGGAGTTCCAAGGACATTAAAATACTAATGAATTAATTACATCTTACCTGTTTTTATGGCTAATAAATATTTTATATAAATGTAAAAAAAGTTACTTTAAAAAAATTCCAGGCTTGCAGTTGGGGACATAAAAATACTTGCATATTTTGACAAGAATTGTCAATGTTTGGCCCTATTAATTGGTGGAATCTTACTCCTTAACTTGCCTTATTTTAAAAAGTAAAACTGACTTGAATTACTCCTTTTTTTCCCAAATTTATTGAGATATAATTGACATGTACCATTGTGTAAGGTTCAGGTGTACAATATGATGATTTGATACACGTATATACTGCAAAATGACTATCACAATAAACTTAGACAACACATCCTTCACCTCACATAATTATCATTTTGTTGTGTTGTATGGTGAGAAAGTTTAAGCTCTACTCTTGTAGCAGCTTAACAATACAGTATTGTTAACTATAGTTACTTTTGGTGGTTCTTTCTACATTGTTAAAAAACTCTGCTTATTCTATTCTTTGTGTGTGTGTAAATTTGGACCCCAAACCTGTGTGAGGCACAAGTTTAACATTAAGAATTGTTAAGGAGAACTTTATTTTCCTACCCAGAGCCTGGACAAACTTCCTTGATGCTTTGTGCCATTGGACAGATTTTCTTTTTCAGTCCAACAAGGATGAACTTTTTTAAGGGGGTCTTACCTTTGTTTTTGTTTGTTTTTTTAATGGGACCTCTTCTCTTGTGCACTTTCCAATTAAAACTAAAGACTTTCAGCACCAAGACCACCCTCCACACCCTCCACACCAGAGCAGCCTGAGTTAACTCATCTAATACTTCTTCCCTCTGTATTTCTGCAACCTGGGGATTTCCTTAAGATAATAGTTATGCATTTTAGGAAAAGAATATGAAAAAGAATATATATGTGTATAACTGAATCTCTTTGCTGTACAGCAGACATTAACACAACATTGTAAATCAACTATACTTCAATAAAATTTAAAAAATACATTTTAAAGTATATTTGTTGTAGAAAAAAATAGAGGAAAAAATTTTAAGGAAGAATTTTAATTTAGTTTTTCATATTACCAAAATCATAAGTCCTTTACTGATTTTTAAAAGAAATTAGAAGTTTTAATTTTAGATTCAATCATTTCATCAAAAAGAAACATATAATAAATAACTTGATTGATTATGAATATGATTTGATTTGTATGTCTTGAAAATACAAAATTACTTTTGTTAAAATATGAGTGTTCATTGTTTTAAAAGACAAAGTTTTCTTTTTTGTTACACTGTTGCTTCAGAAATAATTCTGAATGAATTATCAAATATGTATGGGGTCATTTTAGGAACTTCTCAGATAATCCTCTAAGCCTATAGTTGATTATATTTTTAAATTTAGGATATAAACATCAAAAGAAAAGTTAGCAGCAGGCTTGTGACTGATTTTCTCCCTTCCTGGGACCCTCAGAGGAATAAAAGGCCTCATCAGACCTCTTTATAAATCTGATCATGGTATTTACTCATGGAAAGATACCAGGGAGTCCCTACATATGAAATGTGTTTAGTAGGACATTTTTGGTCTGTCTAGATTGCTTATTGCAAATAAGCCTGTAATTTATTTATTTATGTGGCATTGTGGCTGGAGATAGGGGAAGTAAATAGTATGTAAGCTTTGCAAGGACGTGTAAAATGGAGACATCCTCAATCCAAACTGCTTTCCTTTTGTGAGAAATACCTCTGCATACTATGCTCAAAAACTCCTTGTACATCTGAAATCAAAGTGTGCCAAAATGCAGGAGAAGGTGGACAGTTTTAAATGCTGTGTCTGATGGTTTTGGGTTTTTCCCAAAAAGGATATTTTATCTGTCTGACAGTGGCCTGTATCAATTGAATCATTAATGAAGTTTCGTGTGAGGTAAACTCTATGATTTTGGAGGAGTCTGCTTTGACAACTCATCCCTTAGGATTTATCACAGGTCATAAGAAAAATGATACAGATATTAATTCAATCATCTTTATCAATGACTTAAAATACTTCCAACATCTTGATTTTTGTCAGTAGATTGGTATCAACATGGGCATTAAAATTACAGATGAATACTTTCACTTTGTCTAGATCAAGGGCCTGAAAGTTCAGAAAATGGGCAACTGGAAAGAATTCTAGAATGAGAGATGTGAATTTTGGCTCATTCTTTTTCACTGGATGGATGTGTGAGCTAAATAGAATCTCTTGCCTTAATCTGGATATAAGGTGGGCAAAATAATATTTAAGCTTCCTTCTAACTCTAAATTCTGTGATTCTGTGTTCTACAGAGAGGCTTTCCAGTGAGCAAGAAGAAGACAAGGGAAAGAAGAGGGTTGCTTTGCTGGGTGAAGTGGTTACTAGAATTTCACCAATTGCACTCTAAGTTTTTGTGCAAAGTTACTACATTGCTGCAGTAGTGACTGCCAACATGAATAAAAGCAATCATTCCCCAATATAAATCTGATCATGTGTCTAGATGAAGGCCCTCAGTGACTCCTCTTGCTTTTGGCATCATGTCCAAACTCCTACCATGACATTTCAGGCCCTTTATAATTGATCCTTGCCTAACTCTCTGTTTTCATTT